TGGGATGTGCAATGCTGGGATGTTCAACATTGGGATGTGCAGTGTTGGGATGCACAATGCTGGGATGTTCAACATTGGGATGTGCAGTGTTGGGATGTGCAATGCTGGGATGTTCAACATCGGGATGTGCAGTGTTGGGATGCGCAATGCCAGGAGGATGGGCAGAGCCTTGAGGTGTAACACCAGGACCAGCACCACCAGGATACACAATCCTGGGCTGTGAGCTGCTGGGACATGCAATGCTGGGATATGTGATCCTGGGACATGGAACACCGTGACATGCAGTGCTGGGATATGTGATCCTGGGACATGGAACACTGTGACATGCAGTGCTGGGATATGTGATCCTTGGACATGGAACACCGAGACATGCAGTGCTGGGATATGATCCTGGGACATGGAACACTGTGACATGCAGTGCTGGGATATGTGATCCTGGGACATGGAACACTGTGACATGCAGTGCTGGGATATGTGATCCTGGGACATGGAACACCGTGACATGCAGTGCTGGGATATGTGATCCTGGGACATGGAACACCGTGACATGCAGTGCTGGGATATGTGATCCTGGGACATGGAACACCGTGACATGCAGTGCTGGGATATGTGATCCTGGGACATGGAACACCGTGACATGCAGTGCTGGGATATGTGATCCTGGGACATGGAACACCGTGACATGCAGTGCTGGGATATGTGATCCTGGGACATGGAACACCGTGACATGCAGTGCTGGGATATGATCCTGGGACATGGAACACCGTGACATGCAGTGCTGGGATATGTGATCCTGGGACATGGAACACCGTGACATGCAGTGCTGGGATATGATCCTGGGACATGGAACACCGTGACATGCAGTGCTGGGATATGTGATCCTGGGACATGGAACACCGTGACATGCAGTGCTGGGATATGTGATCCTGGGACATGGAACACCGTGACATGCAGTGCTGGGGTATGATACTGGGACATGGAACACCGTGACATGCAGTGCTGGGATATGATCCTGGGACATGGAACACCGTGACATGCAGTGCTGGGATATGATCCTGGGACATGGAACACCGTGACATGCAGTGCTGGGATATGATCCTGGGACATGGAACTCCGTGACATGCAGTGCTGGGATATGATCCTGGGACATGGAACACCGTGACATGCAGTGCTGGGATATGTGATCCTGGGACATGGAACACCGTGACATGCAGTGCTGGGATATGATCCTGGGACATGGAACTCCGTGACATGCAGTGCTGGGATATGATCCTGGGACATGGAACACCGTGACATGCAGTGCTGGGATATGTGATCCTGGGACATGGAACACCGTGACATGCAGTGTTGGGATATGATCCTGGGACATGGAACACCGTGACATGCAGTGCTGGGATATGTGATCCTGGGACATGGAACACCGTGACATGCAATGCTGGGATATGTGATCCTGGGACATGGAACACCGTGACATGCAGTGCTGGGATATGTGATCCTGGGACATGGAACACCGTGACATGCAGTGCTGGGATATGTGATCCTGGGACATGGAACACCGTGACATGCAGTGCTGGGATATGCAGCACCAAGACACACAATGGAGGGACACGCAGCACCAGGACAAACGGCACCAGGACATACAGCATGGAATGGCAGCCATGCGATGCTGGGACACACAGCACCAACCCTGCCACCAGCCAGGACCTTTTCCTGCCTTCCCAGGATGAACATCTGAGCCGGGACTGAGCCCTGCGCATGGAAGAGGAGAGGGAATCCGCTCATTCCAGCCCCTAATTGGGCACTGGGGATCCCATGGAGCTGCTGCCTCCTCCCTGAGCATGGAGGTCAGAAGCCACCAGCACCACCACCAGCACCACCCCTTCCTCTGTGCTGGGGCCGTGGTTTGGGGTCATCCCACCCGGGGAGGGGATGGATGGATGGGTGGATGGATGGATGGATGGATGGATGGATGATGGATGGACGGACAGACAGGAGCCTTCATTGTGGTCCTAGCACCGGCTGGCAGGGAAGGGGTTAACTCCCTGCTTTTAATTGGGGGGTGGCTGGTAACGAGGACCCAGAACTTGCTCTAATCTCTCTGGAATGTGACCGATTTTCAGCTATTTTCTCCCTTCTGTTTTTGTTCCCCCCTAATAGCTCCAATGTGCCGCTCGCGCCGGCCCCGCACGTGCAGGGACAGTGGGAGCTGTGTCCGCGCTTCCCGAGGGGAAGGGGCTTCAGTTTTCCACATTAGCACTGAACCATTCGCCAGCTCCCCCCCCCCCTTTGTATATTTTGAAAGGGTCCCCCCCTTCCTCTCCCCTCCCCGGCCTCCTGAAACGGCCTCACCATGAGAAGAAGCCTTTTATACCCCCGGCTTCCCCCCCGCCGCCGTCCCCCAGCGGCTTCTCCGCTTACAGAATAGACGAGAAAGCCCCTTTGTGAGGGGGGCAGCGGGCAGGGGACGGCGAGGAGGAGCCACGGGTGCCCGCTGGGGACACAGGGGGCATCTCCTGCCTTGCCCTGGCCCCACGAGGTGGTGAGACCTTAAAGCTCCTCCAGCCCCTGCCATGGCCAGGGACCCCTTCCACTGGAGCAGCTTGCTCCAAGCCCCTGTGTCCAACCTGGCCTTGAGCACTGCCGGGGATGGGGAAGTGTTCTCGTCTGTCACCAGCCGTGGGGATGCTCATCTTGTGCATTGCCCTTTGGACCGTCATGGAGGTGTTGGGATATCTTGTGTGTGGCCCCAGTGCAGCCGTGGGGACATTGGGGCATCTCTTGCATCGCCCTGGCGTGGGCATAGGGATGTTGGAGTGAGTGCAGAGGAGGCCATGGAGATGCTGCGAGGGCTGGAGCAGCTCTGCTCTGGAGCCAGGCTGAGAGAGCTGGGCTGGGACAGCCTGGAGAAGAGAAGGCTCCTGAAGGGGAGACCTGAGAGCAGCTCCAGTGCCTGAAGGGGCTGCAGGAAACCTGGAGAGGGGCTTGGGACAAGGGCAAGGGGAATGGCTTGAACCTGCCCGAGGGGAGACTGAGATGAGCTCTTAGGGAGACCCAAACCAATGTGATTCTTTGTTGGGTCACCTCTGGCACGGCCTCAGGGATGCTCATGGCACTGCCTCAGCCACGCTCCCACTGGGAGCATCTCCAGGAGCATCTCAATGCTAAACCCTCTCCGCATCCACGCGCCGCAGCAGCTCCGGTGGCCCTTGGCTCTGCAGAGCCAGCCTGGTGGTGCTAAGCTGTTGTTGGCAGCTCCGGCGAGCCCTGGCTCCCTGCCTCCTCCTCCACAACTGGCCCTGGGAGCAGCGGCCAAGGGCCGGGTCTGGTTGCGGCTCCCTGGCTCTGAGGGGTCCTTCCTGTCACCGTTATCCCGGCAGTGCCAAGGATCAACCTGGGCAGAGTGCGTGGAGCATCGGGCCCGGGGTGCTGGAGCATCCCTGTGCGCGCGATGGGGATGGGTGAGCGGTTTGATGGCGTTGCAGTAGGTTTTGGGGGGGGTTCCCTGTGCCTGCACTTGGGTTCACAGGGAATCCTCATCCCGGGCTCGTTGGGATCGTGCTGTATCCAGTGGGGCTTCCAGCAGGATCATCCCAGCGGCTGCTGGACTCCCGGCCCGCTCTGGATGGGCTTCACTTGGGTTTTGAGGCTGCCGGGACGTGCCGGTGGGGTTGTGGCTTACCCACGGTTGTGGGGCTGTTGGTGGAGTGGGACTGAGTGCCGACGGACAGGGGGTGCTGGAAGAAGGACTGGAGATGGAATACTGGGAATGGAGAGGGGTGATACTGGTGACATAGGAAGGATGCTGGAGACGGAGCTGGGGTGCACTGGAGGTGAAGGAGAAGATGCAGAACGGGTGTCAGGGGGGTACTGGAGATGCAGGAGGGGATGAGGGGTGCAGGAGGGGATGCAGGAGAGGATGGGGGGAAGCAGGAGAGGATAGGGGGAAGCATGGGGGGATGCAGTAGGTGTGGCCAGCTGGATGCAGGAAGGAATGGGGATGCAGGAGGGGATAGGTGAAAGCAAGAGGGGATAGGTGAATGCAGGAAAGGACGGGGAATGCAGGAGGGGATGGGGATGCAGGAAAGGATGGGGGGTGTAGGACGGATGCTGGAGGCAATGGGGAGACGTTGGAGACTGTGGGGAAGCGGGAGGTGATGCAGGGGGGCACACAGGACACTTTGGGGTCCCTGCAGGAGGCAGCGCTGGCAGGGAAGCCTCCGGCCAGGCACGGAGGGGTTAACGCTCCCGCAGCTCCTCGCTGGCTTTTCCTTCCAGCTGCTGCGGATCACGAAGGTTTGTACGTGGGGAAATTCCTGCGCGCAGCTGCGGCCCGTCCGGGCCACATTCCCCAGCTCCGGCATCCCGAGGGACGCGCCGTCTGCCGGGAACCGCCCCCGGGCCCTCGGCACAAAGCACCTTTCTTTGGGGTGTCCAGGGCCGAGCTGAGCCCAGCGAGCACGAACCCCCCCACAGTAGCCCCAGCTTTGCCTTTCCCTCGCTGCAGCGTGGGGCTGGGTTTGTGCCCTGTGGCAATGGGAGGTTGGTGCCGGAGCCCCAGGGAGCTGGTTTGGGGGAGGGTAAAGGGTGCCATCAGCGTGGGCAGGGAGGGGTGTGGGGCTCGTGGCTCCCCAGTGAGAGAGCAGGGATTTGAGGCTGGGGTTTGGCACCATCCTTTCCTGCATCCCCATCCCCTCCTGCATTCCCCATCCTTTCCTGCATTCACCTATCCCCTCTTGCTTTCACCTATCCCCTCCTGCATCCCCATTCCTTCCTGCATCCACCTGGCCACACCTACTGCATCCCCCCATGCTTCCCCCTATCCTCTCCTGGGTTTGGCATAGGGGTGCAATAGGGCTGAAAACAGCCCCGTGTGCCCCCCAAAACCCCTTTGCCACCAGCCCACGGTCACGTCCATGGGTCAGGGTGCCCCAGCCGAGCGTGCAGGCGGAGCTGGGGGTATTTGGGGTCTGGTGGAGAGCATGACCCCCGCTGTCCCGCAGTACCTGCAGATGAAGTGGCCGCTGCTGGACGTGCCCGCTGGTGCCACGCTGAAGGACAGCCGCTCGCCCTCGCCCGCACACTTGGTAAGAGCCGCTGCATCCCACCGGGATGAGGGGTTCCCAGCCCCCCCGTGATGCTGATGTGAGGTCGCTTTCTCCCTCCCGTGTGCTCTGCCCGCAGTCGAACAAGGTGCCGGTGGTGCAGCACGCCCATCACATGCACCCGCTGACGCCGCTCATCACCTACAGCAACGACCACTTCTCACCGGGGTCACCTCCCGGGCACCTCTCACCCGAGATCGACCCCAAGACGGGTGAGCAAAGGGACTGGAGCCATGCTGGGAATGGGGGGCTCTCTGCTGGATGGTCCCACTGCTTCCCCATGGCTTCCGCAGCTGCGCCCTGGGTGGTGGGAAGGGGATGCAGGTGGTGGATGGGGACGGGTCCTCGCCTGGCTCAGGTTTGGTTGGGGTGAGTGGGGATCCTTCCAGGTCTCAGCATCCCCTCCTCGTGCTGCTGATGAGCAGGAGGGTGCTGGGACAGAGGTGGGATGCTTGGAAGAAGGTGGGGTGCTTGGAAGGAGATGAGGTGCTTGGAGGGAGGTGGGGTGCTTGGAAGGGTATGGGGTGCTTGGAGGAGGACAGGATGCTTGGAAGGAGATGGGGTGCTTGGAGGGAGATAAGAGGCTTGGAAGGGTATGGGATGCTTGGAGGAGGACAGGATGCTTGAAAGGAGATGGGGTGCTTGGAAGAAGATGGGGTGCTTGGAAGGACATGGGGTGCTTGGAAGAAGATGGGGTGCTTGGAAGGAGATGGGGTGCTTGGAGGGAGATAGGAGGCTTGGAAGGGTATGAGATGCTTGGAGGAGGACAGGATGCTTGGAAGGAGATGGGGTGCTTGGAGGGAGATGGGATACTTGGAGGGAGATGGAGTGCTTGGAGGGAGATAGGATGCTTGGAAGGAGATGGGATGCTTGGAGGGAGATGGGATGCTTGGAGGGAGACGGGATGCTTGGAGGGAGATGGGATGCTTGGAGGGAGATGGGATGTTTGGGAGGAGATAGGGTGCTTGGAGGGAGATGGGGTGTTTGGAAGAGTATGGGATGCTTGGAAGGAGATGGGATGCTTGGGGGAGGATGGGATGCTTGGAGGAGGACACGATGCTTGGAAGGAGATGGGATGCTTGGAAGGAGATGGGATGCTTGGAAGGAGATGGGATGCTTGGAAGGAGATAGGATGCTTGGAGGGAGATGGGATGCTTGGAAGGAGATGGGATGCTTGGAAGGAGATGGGATGCTTAGAAGGAGATAGGATGCTTGGAGGGAGATGGGATGCTTGGAAGGAGATGGGATGCTTGGAAGGAGATGGGATGCTTGGAAGGACATGGGATGCTTGGAAGGAGATGGGATGTTTGGAAGGAGATGGGATGCTTGGTGGGAGCTGGAGTGCTCAGAGGAAGGGTGCATGGGGGCAGACGAGTTGCTGGGATCGCAAGCGTGTGCTCAGGGCCCGTGTCCATGTTCTAACACCTTCCCCTTTGTCTCCCTCCCTCCTCGGCAGGAATCCCACGGCCGCAGCACCCCTCGGAGCTGCCCCCCTATTACCCGCTGTCACCGGGAGCCGTGGGCCAGATCCCGCACCCGCTGGGCTGGCTCGTGCCGCAGTAAGGAAGGGCCGTGTCCCGTGAGCCCCTTCTCCTCTTCCCGCTTCATCCCATTATCCACGCAGTGGGATGCTGATGGGGCGGGTGGGAAGGGAGGAGATGGGGAGATGGAGATGGGTCCAAGGGGCCGATTTCTCCACTGAAGCTGGTGTGTTTGCAGGCAAGGGCAGCCCGTGTACTCCATCCCTCCCGGCGGCTTCCGGCACCCCTACCCTGCCCTCGCCATGAACGCCTCCATGTCCAGGTTTGTCTCTGCAGGGGTGAGGGACCCTCCTTGGGCATCCCGGAGCTGGCAGTGGGATTTTAGCTGCTTCCCTGAGGATGTGGGACTCATTCCACGGTGGGACACCCTGCTCCGCACGGGCACAACCCAGTCCCAGGAGGTTGTGGTGGCCTCCTTGGCCAAAAATACCCCCAGAAGGCTGAGGATGGTCCCCATGGGTAGGGGGAAAGCGCCAGCCCATGGGCTCAGAGCATCACTTGGGTCCATGTTACACCGTGGAGCTGGTGGTCTCTTAAACAGAGGAGGTTCTCAGGAGGGTTTGGGGTGGAACCGGGGCTGTTGGTGCCGGTGGGGAGCTGACAAGCCCTCTTCTCCTGCTCCCTCTGCTGCAGTTTGATGTCCAGCCGCTTCTCCCCACACATGGTCCCCCCCCCGACCCATGGGCTGCACCCCTCGGGTATCCCGCACCCCACCATCGTCTCGCCCATCGTGAAGCAGGAACCCACCCAGCCTAGCGTCAGCCCTGGAGGCAACACGTGAGTGTGGGGCAGAGCAGCCCCGGGGACAGGGGCTCGTCCCCTGCGAGGGGCAGAGGGGGTCCTGACCCCTCCTCGTTGCAGGAAATCCCCCGTGACTGTGAAGAAGGAGGAGGAGAAGAAGCCCCACATCAAGAAGCCGCTGAATGCCTTCATGTTGTACATGAAGGAGATGAGGGCCAAGGTGGTGGCCGAGTGCACGCTGAAGGAGAGCGCTGCCATCAACCAGATCCTGGGCAGACGGGTACGGGCATTTCCCTTGGCATTGGTTTGGGTTGGAAGGGACCTTAAAGCTCCCCCAGCTCCAACCCCTGCCACGGGCAGGGACCCCTTCCACTGGAGCAGCTTGCTCCAAGCCCCTGTGTCCAACCTGGCCTTGAACACTGCCAGGGATGGGGCAGCCACAGCTTCTCTGGGCACCCTGTGCCAGCGCCTCAGCACCCTCCCAGGGAAGAGCTTCTGCCTCAGAGCTCATCTCAGTCTCCCCTCTATCTATTAAAGCCATTCTAAGGTGGCAATGGGATGGGAGCTCTGCAGCCGCAGGGCAGCGTGTCCCAGGGGCTGCAGCGTGGTCTCTTCTCCCCCTGCAGTGGCACTCGCTGTCGCGGGAGGAGCAGGCGAAGTACTACGAGCTGGCACGGAAAGAGCGGCAGCTCCACTCGCAGCTCTACCCGACGTGGTCAGCGCGGGACAACTACGTAAGGGATGGGGATGTGGGACCGGCGGGGATGGGGTCTCTGGGATGGGATGAGGTGTCTGTCTGGGATGGGATGAGGTGTCCATCTGGGATGGGGTGAGGTGTCTGTCTGGGATGGGTTCTCTGTCTGGGATGGGGTGAGGTGTCCGTCTGGGATGGGGTGAGGTGTCCATCTGGGATGGGGTGAGGTGTCCATCTGGGATGAGGTGTCCATCTGGGATGGGGTGTCCATCCGGGATGAGGTGTCCGTCTGGGATGAGGTCTCCATCTGGGATGGGGTGTTCATCTGGGATGGGGTGTCCATCTGGGATGGGGTGAGGTGTCCATCTGGGATGAGGTGTCTGTCTGGGATGGGGTCTCTGTCTGAGATGGGGTCTCTGTCTGGGATGGGGTGTCCGTCTGGGATGAGGTGTCCGTCTGGGATGGGGTGAGGTGTCCATCTGGGATGGGATGTCCATCTGGGATGGGGTCTCTGTCTGGGATGGGGTGTCCATCTGGGATGAGGTGTCCATCTGGGATGAGGTGTTCGTCTGGGATGGGGTCTCTGTCTGAGATGGGGTCTCTGTCTGGGATGGGGTGTCCGTCTGGGATGGGGTGTCCATCTGGGATGGGGTGAGGTGTCCATCTGGGATGAGGTGTCTGTCTGGGATGAGGTGTCTGTCTGGGATGGGGTCTCTGTCTGAGATGGGGTCTCTGTCTGGGATGGGGTCTCTGTCTGGGATGGGGTGTCCGTCTGGGATGGGGTGTCCATCTGGGATGAGGTGTCCGTCTGGGATGGGGTCTGTGTCTGAGATGGGGTCTCTGTCTGGGATGAGGTGTCCGTCTGGGATGGGGTGTCCCCTCCTGTCCCCTCACTGGGTGTTTGTCTCGTTGCTCTGCTCATGGAGCAACCTGAGGCACTGGTGCTGAATCCCTGCAGATAAATCCCTATCAGGGGCACCCCCATCCCTGTTTCGAACACCCCCAAGGCCTCTGCAGTGGCACAAACCACTTTATAACCCTTCCCAGGGCAAGAAGAAGAAGAGGAAGCGGGAGAAGCTGGCGCAGCAGCAGCAGCAGCAGCAGAGCCACGACACGGACAGTCAGTATCCCCCATCCCGGTCCCTTTCCCCCTGCGGGGCTGCTCCCGCTCACCCCATCCCACCCCATTCCAGGCTCCCTGGTGTCCAAGGGCAAGAAGCCGTGCGTGCAGTACCTGCCTGCCGAGAAGCCCTGCGCCAGCCCCGCCTCGTCGCACGGCAGCATGCTGGACTCGCCCGCCACGCCGTCGGCAGCGCTGGCGTCCCCGGCCGCGCCGGCAGCCACGCACTCGGAGCAGGCGCAGCCCCTGTCGCTCACCACCAAGCCGGAGGCCAGGCTCAGCGTGCATTCCGCCGGCTTCCTCTCGGGCAAAGCCGCCTCTTCCTCCTCCTCTTCTTCCTCCTCCTCCTCCTCCTCCTCCTCCTCGAGCCTCGGCAGCCCGCCCTCGCTCCTCTCCAGACCCATCCCCTTCACCTCGGTGCCCTCCGCGGCTCTCCTGTCCTCGCCTCCATCCTTCGCGGCCACCATCCCGTCCCCGCCGGCTGCTCTGGCCGTGCTGCAGACGCAGCCCCTCTCCCTGGTCACCAAACCTGCTGACTAAGGGAAAACCTTGTCCCCCTTCTCGGCCCCGGCCCGTCCGTCCCCTCCCTGCTGTACATTGCAGAAGCCACAATCAAGATTCAAACGCAGCCAAAACCATTATTGGTCAATATTTGACCCTCTCTGAACTCTTTTGTAAGCAGACTCTGGAGGAAGGGGCTTTCTGCTCACACGTAAAGACCGTTTTTATTAATAAAAAAGGAAAAAAAAGGCAAAAAAAAAAGAAGAAAATAGCCCCTCCGTAAGCTGCCGATGATGGAAACCTCCTGCGAGGCGCCTGCGGGCACGAAGCGAGTGCTCCCAATGCCATGGGCAGTCCAGCACGGAATGCAGCGGGCATTGCATCCATCCCGGAGGCAAGAGGAGAAACACCAGCGACAGACCCGCTGCCTCCTGGTGCTCCAAACCCCTCCTGTCCTGTGGCTCTGCTCCCGGCCACAGCGATGGCTTTGCTCCGTCCCAGCGAGGAGCTGGATCCTGCCCTGGGGATGCTCCGTGCTGCGGCTGTACCGGGGGGCAGGATCCGGGGCTGAGCCCTGGCTGGGGGCGTTTTCTCCCCATGAAACCCTGTTATTTTTCACTAAAGGAAATAAAACCTCAGCTGTAACTCGCTGCGTGAGCGTGGTCAGTGCAGGGAACGCTCTCTGCCCATCACTGCCTCCTCCACAGCGCTCCGGTGCCGCCGCATCCTGGGAAGCATCAGGCTGGGGCTCTGGTCCAGCCCCAGGCGCCTCCCTCGATGGGCACAGGGTGCTTTAGGGGTGTCCATCGGGGAGACACGGGCAGCAGGATATGGGGTTTGGGTAAAGCAGGTGCTGGGGGGCCTGAGGAGTGGAGGATCCGGAGTTGTCTCAGCCAGGAGCTGCAGGGTGCCCTGTGCCTGCTGCTTCCAGCCCAGGGATGCCACATGAGGATGACAAAGGACCTGCACTGAAGCCAGCCAGGGGCACCCGGTGGATTTTCAACCAATCGGAAGTTCTTGGTCAGTTTAATACTTGAGCTCATCAAGACTCCTCCTGTGCTGTATTTTTTAACAGGAAAATCTCTGTTTCCAAGTGTCTCACTGAAAATCACAACCCTGTTTTCTGTCGCAGGTTTAACCCCGAGCTGCTCCTGCCCAGGGGTGCTTTGTGCTGTTTATAGTCCTGGTTCATTCCCTTTCCTGAACCTCTTGGTTTCCACTGCCCAGGACCCAGCCTGGCTCCTCTCCCCCTGGCCCAGTGCTGCATGGGGAGGACCAGGGTGTCCGAGCAGCACCCAGACCCTCCCTGGGTGATGGGCTGAGCCCTTCCCGCTCGGCTCTCAGTTTGGGGGGTGCTTTTGCTCATTAATGGCATATGTGACATTTTTCTTCCCTTTCCAGTGCTGAGCTGCTCAAGGAGCCACCAGGGAAGTGCTTTTAGCAGCAGCAGATGTCCGTATGGAGGTAGAGGGGAAAAGGGACCATCTCGGTGTCTTGTCCTCGAGGAGGATGCTCTCCGCGTTACCAGATGTTGCGTGAGACGAGCGTGTGCCATGGGGTGACGCCGGCATCTGGAACCCCATTGGATGGAACCCGGAGGATGAGAAAGTGCCTGGAGCATCTTTAGTCCCTGCTGCAGCCCAGAGAGCCCTGACCTTGCTGGACGTTTCCACTCCACACAGGAGATGGTTTGAAGCTCTTGCTTTCAAAGGACAGATCTGAAGCACTGGGGCATGGCACGGTGCCTCCACCCCAGCACCCAAGAGGACCAGGCACGCAGCTTGCATTAATGGCATCCTGATGGCACGTGGTGCGAGATCCAGGCTCCAGAGGATTAGAGAGCCCCTGGAACCACGTGTGCCCGTGGGCTGGAAGGGGCAAAACGCTGCTGCCTTCAGAGAGGCCGTGCCAAGGAGCCGGTTTCCTGCGAGGAACGCCTGGAGCGCATGCGGCCCCGCCGTGCCCAACACCGGGAGCAGGCTGCAGGCAAACAACTGCTTGAATTAGATTTCATGGGAAATTAAAGGCATGAAGAGACCTGTCACAAGAATTAGAGGCTGAACCGGAGCCAGACAGCTTCCAACAGATGTTGGACTTCAGCAGGAGAATATTCCTTTGTTTTGCTCTGCCTTTTCCCATACAGAAAAGGAACATCTGTTCCGATGCCTTCGCGGTGCTCCCAAACTGGGATAGGCTTGGATTATCCCCTGCTAGAAGAGATGCAACTGGGCACCAAAGCCCTCTTGGCTTCTCCTGGAGGACAAGGCCGGTTCCATGGTGCTCCATCTCAAGAGGACATGTTGAGGCTCTCCTAGCTGACCCAGGCTGATGGTGGTACCTGCATACCCTTCATGCTTTATGGAAGTGTTGCATTTAGACAGGTTCCCAATAGAAAGCCACTGCACAACTCCTGCTCCTGCCTTCGGAGGTGACTTTTCTTCACAGGGCTCCCCACCATCACATCCAACAAAGGGGAAAAGGTCGGGGAGGGAATGAAATGAGGAAAACTTGGGCAGAAGCTCTTCCCTGTGAGGGTGCTGAGGCGCTGGCACAGGGTGCCCAGAGAAGCCGTGGCTGCCCCATCCCTGGCGGTGTTCAAGGCCAGGTTGGAGGGACCCTAAAGCTCACCCAGCTCCAACCCCTGCCACGGGCAGGGACCCCTTCCACTGGAGCAGCTTGTTCCAAGCCCCTGTGCCCAACCTGGCCTTGAGCACTGGCAGCTATTCCTCCATGGGCCTTTCCTGCAGTGAGGAAAGGTTTAAACCCTGGACTGCAGGATGCCGCTTCCATGCAGAGCCCAGCCCCAGCCTCCTGCGCCCATCACCGGGGTCTTATGGCCGGGACCTGGTTCAAAGCTTGTCAGGAGCAAACCTGTGGTAGAGCTGGTGCTTTCCTTGCTGCTGCTTGGAAGCGGGGTTACTCCTGTCACCTCCATCCTCTTGCTTAATTACAGCATCTCCATCAAGCAGCCCCCAGCCCCGCTCCCCCCCAGCTCTGGCTATTCACTAATTGAAATGCCTAATGAGGTCCCAGGGGTCTCCTGCAGAGATGGAGCTAATTAGAGGCTCCACGGTGAACCCTGCGAGCGGCAGCAATGAGACGGAGCGTTCCTCAAGCCCGGGGAGGGGGGGGATGCAGCAGATGTCCCGTTTCCCGGCCCCGCACTGGGCGCTCCGTGGGCTCCAGGCTCCTGCCATAGCAGCTGGTGCAGAGGCACTGGCTACACTTAATACATTTTAATTAGCATCATTAAATTGTTCCATTTGCTAATTGTTTCTCCTTTTGATCCTTTCTCCTGACCAGATTAGCCCTCTGGGGGAAAGGGATGGGATGGGGGATGCAGGCGCTTCTGACAAGGTGAGGACTTTATTAGCTCCAAGCATTGAAGTGCCTCAGTTGGTTCAGTTCTCGTCCAGATTTGGGTGTACAGCCTGGTCTCGGTCATTGTGGCCGTTCTCAGAAAGAGTCATCCCCAAAAAGCAACATCCCACAGAGATTTATGGGAAGAGATGAGGAAACCAAGCGGATCTGGCTGGAGTTGGAATGGAACGGGGTTGGGTTAAAGGTGATAAAGGACCAGCAGCTGCCATCACCTGGGTGAGACTGAGAGGGAATTTCCTCCTTCTGCTTTGCAGACAGAATAATCCCCAATCCTCCTCCTTTCCCTCCCTCCAGCCCACATCCGTGTGGCCGTGCTGAAGCCAGAAGGAATTTCCTTGTTGTCCACATCGATGCAGCTTCCCGTTTCCCGGCTGCGCGCGGAGGGGGCAGCCCCGGAGGCCAGGGGAGGTCACTGCTCCTGTTTATCCCATTTTAGCCAAGAAAAGTGCTGAAGGCAAAGGAGCCCGGAGCGAGGCACCGGCGCTGAGCTGATGTCAGCCTGGGACTTGGTATCTTGGGCAGGATCCCATTCCCAGATGCATTGTTGTAAATCCAGAGGAACTTGGCCTCTGTTCCGTTGCTCTTGACTTCCAGGGGTGTGAGTGAAAGCTGAAGGGGCTGGGCATGAGAAACAGCCCCGCTTGTCTGCTTTTAATGTCAGCAAAAGCACTGGGCCAACTGCTCTTGTGTCTCCTTGGAAGGGCAGGAATGGGCAGAACGGAGCTGCTGGGAACGTTGGAATGGGTTGAATTGAATCGAGGTTGGAGGGGGGCAAAGAAGGAAAAATCGAGCACATAATCCATTGTGCTCTGAGGCCAAGTCAGGATTATTCCCCACGGTATTATCGCTGCACAGGACTCATTTGGTTGCATGGTGAATGGTGGTGGGATATTTTTCCAGGTTTTAGTGTTAAATGGAGCGGCTGAAGGATCTGGGACGTTCTTGTGGTTCCTTCTAGAGACTTGGGCGCGTGTCCTTCGGCAGGATGTCGTGTTAGGGATGAGATACAGCTCTGGTGACAGCATGCTCTGGAGTGGTTGAGCACCAAGGAAGTTCATCCTGGGTGGAGAGGAAGGCAAATCCATTGATCTGAAAGGAGTGAGGACAAATGGAGATTGATACTCATAAGGCAAATTACAGGGACTTGATGGTGTGATTTCTGCACCTGGAAAACTGATACCAAAGCTCTGGCTTTGGGAAGGACAGGCAGGGAGGTACGGATGATGTGCCCCCATGCCAAAGTCCCTAAAGAGAGGGACCCAGACCTGTGTGGGGTCACCAGGAAGCAGTGATGGGCAGGGAGAAAACCCAAGAGGAACATGTGGAGATCTTTGGTTTACCAGGATCCCACAAAAGCCATGGCTCAGCCGACATCTGCTCGGAAAGGGATACAGCAAGAGGGATACGGCGAAGGAACGGACCCGAGGACATCAAATCCACGTGAGGAGCTCAGACCGTGGCAGGAGGATGACGGGTGGATGTGGGGAGCTTCCTTCGTTTCGTGTGCGTCAAGTCCAGGCTGGTTCCCATCCCCGGAGCAGAGCCGGAGGCTGGAGAGGAGCGGGATTGCCAGCGGAGGGTGATGACATCCTCATGGCCGCTCTGCTGACCGAGGTGGAGGAGCCCTGGGTGCGGGTGCGGAGGGAGCCCGGAAGGGAGCAGGGAATCCCATAGGGAGAGATGGACACGGGCTGGGTAAGGCAGGCTCCAGGGCGAGCGGTCCTCATAGGAGCACAGCCCTCGGCGCTAAGCCCCGCCCCTAATTTACATAGACCACGCCCGTTACGCAGCAAGCCCCGCCCATCGGTCGGAATAAGCCACGCCTCTCAATCTCCATAAGCCACGCCCACATCGCGTCCGCTCCGCCCCGGACTCCTCAAGCCCCTCCCGCTGTCGCCGCGCCCCTCCTCTGTCGCGACATCTCGGGGCGGAAGCGGAAGCGGACGCGGTGCGTGCGGGGCCGCCATGGTGCAGCGGCTGCTCCTGGTGCTCCTGCTGCTCCGCCTGGACGGTGAGCGGGGAGGGGGGACCGGGACCGGGAGCGGGATCGGGAGAGGGAGCGGGAGCAGGACCTGGATCGGGACCGGGAGCGGGACCGGGAGCGGGACCGGGAGCGGGATCGGGAGAGGGATCGGGACCGGGACCGGGAGCGGGAGCGGGACCTGGATCGGGACCGGGAGCGGGACCGGGAGCGGGACCGGGAGCGGGATCGGGAGCGGCGGGGCCGCGGGTGACTGAGCTCTGTGTTCCGCAGCCGAGCGCAG